GCCCGCGTCATGTATGTATGTGGCTCGGTCCGCGGCAACGCTGCAATCCTGCAAAATATCCTGAAATCGGATTGTCTCCCATGTTGCAACTTTGCAGGAAGCACGAACGGTCGCGCGTACCACCCCGGAATTTCTACACAGCGCGTAGTAACTTTTTGCGAAACTTTTCAAACATCCGCTTTATCGGACAGAAAACTGAATCGCCAATTTATCTGGACTTGCATGAAGAATGCAAAGCCCGGCTGTCGCCGATTTTGTTCAGATTAATCGCATTTATAGATCTCGTTCTCCTGTTTTTTCTGTATACTTTCAGAGGCAGTCACTGAATAGCTTTTTTTCTTAGATATTTACGACTAAAGTTTCATTGCTGCAATCAAATTCTGGTTTGTGCGGGTAGCTGGCTCGAGAGACGGCAGTTGGTAGGCACCAGATATCTAGAATTTCATTGCCACGATGGTGCATTAATTATAATTATCTAGGAAATTGTTAAGCGTCTGTTCCTCTAATGGTATATCTAGAGAATACATGAAGCTATTTACATTCCGTAGATTTTCTTGCGATGAACAACGCGAACTTTTCCGCATACAACGATCTCAAAAATAAATCACGTCGACATCCGGTGATGCAGAAAATACTTGTCACGGTGTGATTCATGGCGGGCCTGTTTGAAAGCCGTTATGCCTCAACAATATATGTATGTAGATTCGCGAACGAGACGAACGAGATCTACGAGCACAGAAAGTTTCACTAAAATCGGCGATCCCAAATAGTTGCTCTCTCCTCGTTAACGTACCATCGAGTAGCATCGGAATTCCCTGAAACAATTCGCAGAAGCGTGGAATAGAAATTTCGAGTTCGCAAAACGGCAGAGCAGCATGGGAAAGTTCTCGTTCAGTTTTCTCTATTTAGAATTTCGCGGGTTCGTGCCTGTTCGAAATGTTTGCGCACGCGATCGAATCGCGGCGATAGTTCGGCGCAGGCGCCGGCCGAATAAATTGTCGAACAATCGTGGTCGATTTCGTAAATCGTTCGACCGTATTCGAAAGTCTCTGCCGATAATGCGAGTCCTTGTCCGCTAATCGCGCGCGACGCCGGTTCAATGTCGGGACAATTTAAGATCTCGGTGATCGGACAATTAGAGTTAAGGTGGACTTTACGGTCGGCAATTATTACTAATTTTTTTAAAACGACGCGGCTCCGCTGCACCAATAAAGATTGCTTCGCGATACCCTGCGTGCTGTTCGAGTATCATACCCACCGATTAAACTCATTAACGCGCACACATTCAATTAACCTACATCGAGACGGGCGCGTCCGTGCGAAGGTAACTCGCTGGCGCGAGACTGATGTTTAATACGATCCTTCAGATCTCGAGAGAGAGAGAGAGAGAGAGAGAGAGAGAGAGAGAGAGGAGAGTAGGTGGCGGAAGATGGAGAAAGAGGGAGAGAGAGAAAGTGCTCGGCGTCAGGACGCGTGGACAGGATCCTCGACTCCTCGCAAAAAAGACCCTCCCAGAGCGCAGCCCCTCGATGGAGTAATTTTTAATTGCTACTCCGGGAACACGCGCCCTCTCCGGAGCCGGCCCTGTTCTGGACCAGACTATTGATCTTGCTGAGGGTGGCAGGGAGGCGGTGAGAGACAGCGAAGGGGCGAGAGAGCAGCGGAAGAAGTAAGGGCTGCGTTATTAACGTCGCGAGCCTAGCTGCCCGCGAGAAATTAGGCAACTTCCCTCTTCCGGACCGCTTTGCTGCACCGATGACGACCTGTCGGCTTGTGAAACGCGCCAAGGACGAGGGTAGTTGCGAATCGGAGGGTCGAAGAAACTTCGGAACTCGGAATGTCCCAGTAGGCGCGATTTGTTGCTCGAATCGATCGTTCGGAAAACTACGACAGCTTTGTCACCGATTGGCATAGTTTCCGCTGACTCTGTATGCTCAAGCAGACCGAACGTAAAATTCGTCCCGATCGGGCTGCGATAATTTCGGACACTCGACGGCCCAGACAGGGTGCTCCTAAGAATTCAGCTTCGTCATCAAGAGACAGATTTTCGCTGACGGTATCCCATATGGGCGACCTCTTGTACAGTAAATTGCTAAATTCCAAAATACAGTGTTATTTGCTATCACTGTCGGGATAGTGTTATTTGGTAAATCAAAGAAAAAATAATTATTACGGCACTGATCCCGGTATCCTATTATGATGTATGTACACGAGTAACTATAGTAAATTTTAATTAAATACAACCTTATAGAAAGGAACGACTTTCATTTTAAAAAATGACGTTTCTAGGATCCTCTAGCGGATCCTTGTGCAGTGGAAGTGCAATAGCGGGAAAAGGCCTCCGTGTGTACATGTCGGTGAATTCCAAGCGTTGCCAAGTGCACAAATTATTTCGACGCGAGCGAGCGAGCGAGCGAGCAGGATTCACGAGCCCGCAATATTTGACACACAAATCTAGATATTCGAGGGCGCAACACCGCGCGATGCTGCAGCAATTGAGAATGCAACGCCACGGAAAACAGAGGCTCTGCTGGCCGGACTTAACGTCTTGTTTATTGTCTCTGGCAATGGCAGAAGAGGATCGATCTGCGAGAAATCCCAGATGAAAAATTCAGCCGGACTTCTGATCGATGGGGTGCACGGTCGGAGACTCGAAAAATCAGAGCCGACAACCTGCCTGGGAGTTTTCTGATTCGGTCAGTCGGTCTTTGATCGAGTCCCGCCGCCGATGCACTCCTGGATGAATCATCGTGGCCCGCTCGCGACGCGATCGCAAACAAACCACCGTGAACGATCGTTGCTAGTGGTCCCCGATAGCCTCCTGCCCGTTTGCCGCAGGTACAATCTCCTTGGCGCGCTTTAACCTTCCCCGTCGATGGTGGTTTGGATCAACGGGAGAACGAGAGGAAAACCCGTGCAGAAAAAGGGACCGGAGAGAAAGGGTTAACGGGCCGCGTTGTCGTCGTCGGCCGTTCTTCGGACGCTTTAGCTCGTTAGAGCGGAAGGGATCCGCGCTGACAGACCCTCGGAATCCGAGACGACAGTGTCCGTCGGACCGGATTCCTGGTTATCCCCGGCGATGTTCGATCCCTCGAAGCCGCGCCGACGATCGTCGAGCACAGACGCCGGGAACTTTGAACCGCGTGGGTCGCGAGATTGCCCGAGGAACGGAACTTTATCAGCGGGTTGCGACGGCTGAACGGTTTCTATGGCGGCTCGGGAGCAAACATTTTTGCTGTCGCGCGCAGAATTTAAGCGCAAGCCATCCTTTTCTTTCAGTTTCATTTTTTTTTCAGTGGAGAAACTGGAGGCAGGGCTGGG